AAATTGAATCTACGCTACCTGAGAATGCTTCCATATGAATAGGACTAATCATTGAAAAGAGGATTTTTAAAGATTTTTTCTACATGTTTCATTGTAAAACTTGGATTCCATGTTATTCACATAGTAAGGATACTCTTAGCTGTTAGTTTTATTGAAAGTACCAAAGCCCAGTGATGCCAAAGATTGGGGGGGTGTAAAAAGTTTAGGACAACATCAGTCAATGGTCGTTTTTCGATCAGAATCAAATGCTTACTTGTGCTTTTGGCTTTTTTGGGCAGTCTTAAATGTAATCTGATTTTTTTTTTAAGGAACATAAATTTGGTATTGGTGCTTTTCCTTTTTCAAAATAAACCGTTAATTGCTATTTGCCAGGTATGAATAACGAACAGTTATCTAAATATACAGGTTAAAGATAACAGTGATCATCTAGCTAATTTTTTTTTTATCAGATGATAACATTTTGTTTTATGATAAAGCCACGCCACCCATAATATCCTGTCTGTTTGCGTTTTACCATAAATCACCAAAATGCACTGGATTAGAGGCACCTTTTTGGTCCTTCTGTGCACATTTTGAAAGCAGAGAGTTTGTTGTTCCATGGACAAACCAAAAGTACTTCTGCATCATCTAATGGACATTCTGATTCTGATGTGTACAAACAACTTCTAAATCTGGAACAAGTGTTGGTTTCTATATTGATGGACCAAAAACAACAAGCTCTACAATTCAGCATTTTGAACAACAACAAAGGTTATTAGAGGAAGAGATTCAGACACTGAAGCAATGGAATCAAACCATATTAAATTCTATATTGATGGACCAAAATCAACAAGCTCTGAAAAACCAGCGTTTTGAACAATAACAAAAGTTCTTAGAAGGAGAGATTCAGAACCTGAAGCAATGGAATCAGACAGTCCAAGTGAAGATGAAAATCCTTGAGGACTCACTTTTAGATTTACAAAGTGAAAACAAAATCTTGAAAGAAAGTCTAGACAACTTGAATTTGTCACTAACTACATCCCAGTATGATATCTGCTTGAATGAAAAACTTAATAATCTGAATTCAACATCAACATTTCTGCTTCATGAAAATATAATTTTGAAAGAAGAGATAAAGATTTTGAATTCTACCTCAATGTTAATACAACAAAATTTGACCACATCAGAAGACATAAGAAGGCTAGAAAACATCCTAACCTTTGAAATAGAACAGACAGTCAGAGACAGTGAACAGAAAATCATTAAGAACATATCGGCCACAATCACAGACCTGGGATTAAAAGACCGATATCTATCACTTTTCTTCTGGATGTACACAATAACACAGCAGGATTATCGTTTTCTCTTTCTAGTTTTCTAGTTTGGAAGCACGGCAGAACCAAATGAAGAGTGAGATCCAAATGCTAACAAATTCCCAGCAAAACGACATTACCAAACTTTATAATACCATTATTCATCTTAAAAATCGTATATATACTCTTCAATCTTTCTTTCTTCCTTCTGCTCAAAAAGAAGAAATACAATGAAACATGCTTAAAACAAAGTTTCAGGGATAGATGCTTTGGTTTGTTATAAGCGTAATTCATTATATCCATTAAGTTTACAATATACATAGTATCTTTAAGTCGAAGGGATAAAAATCACTTTGCTGTAAGTGTCTATTCATTATAAATGTGTTTGCTATAAGCCTGGTGTTTCAATGGAGTTATAACTAATCTTATAAAAGAAAGTTTCACTAATAGCCTTATTAGACTCTATGAAATTCTGAAAAATAAACACATGTGTTCTTCATTTTAAATGGCATTTTAAATTATGCAATTGATTTTCTTGTTAGTCATCATATGTATTCTGATATCAAAAACTGCCATCATTCACGTATCCAATATTTCTTTTTGCGAAGCCAGTTTTTGTATGTTTTTTTGTTTGTTTTTTTTTTTTTGAATATTTTGAAAAAAGGATATACAGACTTTTAGCATGTAATGCTAAAACTGTTAAACTGTTACTAACGTATCGATAACATGTTTTAATTTATCATTTTGGGAAGGGGTAAGAGAATTTTAATTTTTAGCTCTCCTGAGCCAAAGGCTCAAGTGAGCTTTTGATCACATTTTGTCCGGCATCCGTCTGTCCGTAAACTTTTCACATTTTCGACTTCTTCTCAAGAACCGCTGGGCCAATTTTAACCAAACTTGCCACAAAGTATCCTTGGGTAAAGGGGATTCAAGTTTGTTCAAATGAAGGGCCACGCCCTCATTCAAGGGGAGATAATTGGGAATTAATGAAAATTTGGTGGCGTGTTTTAAAAATCTTCTTCTCAAGAACCACTGTGCCAGGAAAGATGAAACTTATGGGGAAACATCCTCAGGTAGTGTAGATTCAAATTTGTTCAAATCATGAGCCCCAGGGGTAGGGCGGGGCCAAAATGGCCAACCAAAGTTTTACATAGAAATATATTGGAAATTTTTTAAAAAATCTTCTTCTCAAGAATAGCAAAGCCATAATTGATAATATTTATATGGAAGCATCCTCAGGTAGTGTAATTAAATTTTTCAAATCATGAGCCCCAGGGGTAGGGCGGGGCCACAATGGCCGACCAAAGTTTTACATAGAAATATATAGGAAAATTCTTTAAAAATCTTCTTCTCAAGAATAGCAAAGCCAGAATTAACACATATTTATATGGAAGCATCCTCAGGTAGTGTAGATTCAAATTTGTTCAAATCATGAGCCCCAAGGGTAGGGCGGGGCCAAAATGGCCGACCAAAGTTTTGCATAGAAATATATTGGAAATTTTTTTAAAAATCTTCTTCTCAAGAATAGCAAAGCCATAATTGATAATATTTATATGGAACATCCTCAGGTAGTGTTGATTCAAGTTTCTTCAAATCATGCCCCCAGGGGTAGGGCGGGGCCACAATGGCCGACCAAAGTTTTACATAGAAATATTTAGGAAAATTCTTTAAAAATCCTCTTCTCAAGAATAACAAAGCCATAATTGATCATATTTATATGGAAGCATCCTCAGGTAGTGTAGATTCAAGTTTGTTCAAATCATTAGCCCCAGGGGTAGGGCGGGGCCAAAATGGCCAACCAAAGGTTTACATAGAAATGTATAGGAAAATTCTTTAAAAATCTTCTTCTCAAGAATGACAAAGCCATAATTCATCATATTTATATTGAAGCATGCTCAGGTAGTATAGATTCAAATTTATGCAAATCATGACCCCCAGGGGTAGGGCAGGGCCAAAATGGCCAACCAAAGTTTTACATAGAAATGTATAGGAAAATTCTTTAAAAATCTTCTTCTCAAGAATAGCAAAGCCATAATTGATCATATTTATATGGAAGCATCCTCAGGTAGTGTAGATTCAAGTTTGTTCAAATCATGAGTCCCAAGGGTAGGGCGAGGTCAAAATCGCCGACCAAAGTTTTACATAGAAATGTATAGGAAAATTCTTTAAAAACCTTTTTCTCAAGAATAGCAAATCCATAATTGATCATATTTACATGGAAGCATCCTCAGGTAGTGTAGATTCAAGTTTGTTCAAATCATGAGCCCCAGGGGTAGGGCGGGGCCAAAATGGCCGACCAGAGTTTTACATAGAAATGTATAGGAAAATTCTTTAAAAATCTTTTTCTCAAGAATAGCAAAGCCATAATTGATCATATTTATATGGAAGCATCCTCAGATAGTGTTGATTCAAATTTGTTCAAATCATGACCCCCTGGGGTAGGGCGGGGCCAAAATGGCCGACCAAAGTTTTACATAGAAATGTATAGGAAAATTCTTTAAAAATCTTCTTCTCAAGAATAGCAAAGCCATAATTGATCATATTTACATGGAAGCATCCTCAGGTAGTGTAGATTCAAGTTTGTTCAAATCATGACCCCCAGGGGTAGGGCAGGGCCAAAATGGCCGACCAAAGTGTTACATAGAAATGTATAGGAAAATTCTTTTAAAAATCTTCTTCTCAAGAATAACAAAGCCATGATTGGTCTTGGGACTACTTTTGGATTTAAGCTTTTCAAGTATAAACCAATTCCGCTTTTTCCTAGCCACAGTGCTCAGGTGAGCGATGTGGCCCACGGGCCTCTTGTTAAGGAAAGCACATCCATATTTTATAGTTTTCCAATTACTTTTGAAATTTAAGAACATTGCAATATCACATAGCCTGTTAAAAAAAAAAAGACACACATATGTGCACTCTCATAAGGAATTTATGTTTTAAAAATGAATACATAAAGTTTCTGCTTTGAATAGCATTAAAGTTTAAACTTTAAAGTGAGCATAGGGTATAATATCCACTGAATCCAGGCTAATCAAAAGGACCGTCTCATTCAAAAGACTGATTTTTTTCCTCCTAAAAAATAAGGTAAAAAAGCAATTTGAATTCTTAGATCTAAATATGGAATAAGTCTACAATCTAGCTCAACATCAAACATAATGTAACTATGTCATAAATTTATTCATATTTAGCCACTTTTTTCTTTAAATGCCCAGTTGAAAGGCTACAGGACCCTGCTTCAAAGCAGGACAATTATGCCCTGCATGAGGACAGGCCATTTTATACTTTATAGTCACTGTGCATAAAATGATATTTCTCAATCGTTTTAAACATTAATGTCACCATAAAATAATTAATGTGTACATTTACATGTTTCTGGATAAAAGATAAATTTTACACTTTTGCATGACTATAAAAATAAACTTAAGAAAAAACAAAGCAAAATAATTGCAATGCAATTAATAAATGTTATTTTTATCTGCAACAGCTGCCATTAACTTTGTAGGTATATGTACCTATAACTGCATAAACTATACACATCTTTCTCTGTTATGTAATTTCAATATCAAATCAAGAATAGAACTGCATTTTTTATTCTGTTGTATTTTTTTCAGGTGTTCAATCCAATGTAGCTTTCACAGCCGGAGTTGGATATGGTGATAATCATGAATTTTCTTCTGGACAAACAGTTAAATAGTTTTGTGTATTTTTCAGGTGTTCAAACCAATGTAGCTTTTACAGCTGGAATCTTAGGAGAGACAAGTGGACAACATACATATACAGGTACAGTTAAATTCCCAACAGTCATATACCAGGTGGGAGGAGGATACAACCCTACAACAGGAGTGTTTACTGCCCCAAAAGCTGGACTATACCTCATATTCTGTACTAATGTGGCATATAATGATGAATACTTCTGGACAAGAATAATGATTAATGGTTCAGTTAAGGCAGGAGTCATGGGTTTCATTGGATCATCTTCTATGATAGTCAACCAATCAGCCTCCAACCTTGTTGTCCACCAGTTACAGGTGGAGACAAGTCTGGATAGAGGTGCAACAGGGAAGTCATCTGTACTCATTAAATCCAGAGACAACATTTTCTGTAGTCATGATCAATGGATCAGACTAAAACCACAATATATAAAGGGTCCCTGTTTGGAGGGTAACAGTTGAAACTGACCCCCCAAAGGGAAAAACCATTGTCAACCGACGCGTCAGCGGAGGTTGACAATGTTTTTCCGAGGGGTGACATTTTAAAATGTTACCCTCCGAAAACAGGCACCATTTATTTTATTATACTGAATGTCTTATCGATTTAGGATGTCAGCAAAAAAAAATCGTCAATCGTCTTTAGTTCAAGTTTAGAAAGCTCCTGCTACCCCCTTTACTGTGAAAAAGATTAACTGACCTCTTTATTTTGAAAAAAATTCAACTAAATAAAAAATTTACAAAAAACTAATGAAATCTCATGAACTTTTCTCAAAGCATAAAATGTGATGCTGGCAATATTCTTGATATGGCCAAATAACGTATATTTCATTGTGATCTGATATGATTACAGAGTATTATAACTGATATGATTACATTAGTATTATTGTTTCTGTATTTACAAATTAAATGATTTAATTAAGGTTATTTTGATTCCCTTTTTTAATTTTGCCCATCATGATATTTAAATACTTGAAAAAAAGAAATTTGGTGCATACATATATTAGCACAAAAAAAAGGGGAAGATTGGCACATATTTGATTTTTTGGTCACTCAAACACAATAGCGTTACTCTATCCAACTTACATACAGTCGTTTGGCCATTTCCCGGGTTTTCGACTAGTTGAATAATTATAAATTTAAGAGCTAAGAGCTACATTAAAAGGTGTAAAAATAAATTGATACCTATGGTAAGAAGGCTTATTTATGGGGTTTTTAATTATGGAAGTTTTGACTTTTTGCCATCGTTGGTTTCCTTTTGTACTTGAAAGAGTCGACATACTTTTTCAATGCAACACTAATAACAGCAACGCGTAAGTCTGCAGAAAAACCTCTGTAGAGACACCAGTTTTTCACATAAAACAACATTACAGGTATTAAAAGTAATTTTGATATGTACTCTAACAAATACTAAAGAATTGTCTAAAATAAATATTTGAACATGAAAGATATCAGAATATTTTTGGGTTTTCATTTTACTAGTTCCGGATACCCATTTTTAAAATCTATTATAAATTCCTTCCTGTGTTTTCTTATTGTAAACATTATACCCCCGCTTGAAAAGCTGGGGGGGTGGGTATATAGTGATGCTATATTTGTTCATCCATCCGTCTGTATTCCGTCTGTCTGTCTGCCTTAACCCTCCATCTGATACGCTTTAGGATACTCGTTTCTTTTTTCCGCACAACTCCTCTTTTACCACCGAATGAAACTAATGAGGCTTCACAAATTTAATAGTCTTTCACATAATCTTTGTTAAATGTGCCAAAGTACACCTTCTATTTTATTTTTTGATCTGGCACATAATTTGGGCTTCCTTAAAATTACATAGATACTGCCATTCTTTCTAATATTGAAGGGTATATCCATCTCTTTTCCGCAATTCCTCCATTAAACTGAATATAATTTAATGATACTATAATAGATTCTTTATAACGTTGTGCCATTGTACATGTGACCTCTTATTTTACTTTTTGATCTGACACTTTTTGGATCTCCC